AATTGAAGAAAGAAAAAAGAGGGAAAAAAAGAGAAAGAAAAGAAAGAAGGAAAAGGAATCCCGAAGACAAGCAGACCTCTTATCTCTCCATCTAAGCCTTTGAGGATTCTCTCTCTCTCTCTCTCTCTCTCTCTCTCTCTCTCTCTCTCTCTCTCTCTCTCTCTCTCTCTCTCTCTCTCTCTCTCTCTCTCTCTCTCTCTCTCTCTCTCTCTCTCTCTCTCTCTCTCTCTCTGACCGTAAGCAATTATGGCAGCAAAATCCTCAGGCATTTTTGGGCGGGATGAGTCAGCAGTGCCGTGATATTTTTTGAAAAGTATTGAGGTCAGGCGAACAGGCGTGTGCGGGAGGGGGGGGGGTGGGGTGGGTGAGGTGGGTTGGGGAAGGGTGTGGGTGGGATGGGAGATGGGTGAGGGTGGGTGGTTGGGGGGAGGGTGAGGAGGGTGGGGGGGGTGGGTGGGTGGGGGGGTGGGGTGGGTTGGGGGGGGTGTGGGTGGGTTGGGGGAGGGTGAGGGTGGTGGGTTGGGGGGAGGGTGAGGGTGGGTGGGGGAGGTGGGTGGGTTGGGGGAAGGGTGAGGGTGGGTTGGGGGAAAGTCAGCGGGAGAGTGGAGAAAGGGTGGGGTAAGGAGTGAAAGCAAAATAAAGGGAGGGGAATGGAGTATGGGCGAAAGGCAGATGGAAACCGTTGAAGGGAAGGGTGTAACGAGTGAAGGTAGTATTAGGGGTGAGAGGGGAATGGAGAAGAGAGAAGAAAGAAGAGCTGGTAAGGGGGGAGGAGAGGTGAAGCAAATGACGGGGATGGGTTTTGGGAGAGAGGGAAGGGGAAGTTGGGCGGGGCTAGGGAAGCAGTTCAAATGAGACACGACTACACTTGGAGAGGAATTGAATTGAACTATTCGAGCTTTTTATGGGTGGACATATTCATTATACATACATACATAGTACACACACACACACACACACAGATCTATCTATATCTATATCTATCTATCTATATCTATCTATCTATCTATCTATCTATCTATATATATATATATAATATATATATATATTGATATATAGACAAAGAAATAGAAATAGACATACAGATATAAATTGACAGACAGACAGATAGATACACAGATAAATAGAGATAGGTGAGAATAGAGCGAAACTGAAGGAGAAGAGATGAATTAAAACTAAAGAAAGAAAGGCAGATGTAAATGAACTGAAGGGAGAAAGTGGAGAAAGTGAGGAGCCAGAAAAAAAATAACAAAAAAAAAAGAAAAAAACACAGAGACAGACAGAGAAAGAGAAAGAGAAAGAGACAGAGAAAGAGAAAGAGAGAGGTTAACGCCATCGTCTACCAATGCAATGAGTCACAGCTGTACCGCAACCCCTCACGCTGGCTTGCACCTGTACAGATGTTTTCCGCATCGGCATCTGGAACACGCGAAGTGGACCCCGCCTCGTAAACACGCCTCGACGCCCGCAACCGGTGCCATAGTGCCATAGTGCCGCGGTCTTGGCACTCCTCTCGTCTGCTGAGGCTGCCTGTCTGCATTCCCTCCCATTGTGCGTGTCTCTCGATTCTCGGCTGTTCTATATATGTTCTATATGTTATCGAAATTCTGTTGTGGGAGCCCGAGAGTCTAGCACCCCCCCTTCCAAAAAGGAAAAAACGGAAAAGAAACGAGAGAGAGAGAGGAGAGAGAAAAAAAAAAAAAATAATAATATAGATATATATATATATATATATATATATATATATATATATATATATATATATATAATATATATATATATATATATATATATATATATATATATATACTGCATACGATCATTTCAAATCAGATACATTTACATCAACCTCCCGGAAGAAAACGAGAAAAAAAAAAAACGAAAAAACGAAAAAAAAAAAAAAAACACATGCAAAAAGAGGATCACATATCCAACAAGATACCTCAATACATTCACAAGTCTTCCTCAGCTGCAACCGCTTAACGAAAAAAAAAAAAAAAAAAAAAAACGAAAAGAAAAAGTTGAAAAGATCAAAAGTTTCCACCTGTCTCCCCTCATTACGAGCTAATGACCTCTCGACACCACCTGCTTAAGTCACCGCGAGAGGGAGAGAATTCCTTAATGGAGATAAAGAGAGAGAGGGGGAGAGGGGGGTGGGGAGAGGGGAGGGGAGCGGAGTGGAGAGAGAGAGAGGAGAGGGTAGAGTAAAGAGAGAGAGGAGAAGAGGAAAAAAAATAGAAAGAAAAACGAAAACGAGAGAAGACAGAGACAACACACGCAAGAGACAATACCCAAAAAGAGAACAAGAAAAACAAAAAACAAGTAAAAAACCAAAACGAGATAGCCCTCTAAAAAATAGAAAAAAAATACCCTGCCTGTCCCACTGAGGCACCGGTCCAATTTTTTTCAATTTTTTTTTTTTTTTTTAGTCACGCTCCCCTAGGCATACCTAGAGGAAGGAAAAAACAGGGGAAGTGGGGGGGGGGGGGAGAGAGAGGACTCAGCCAACCTCTATACTCGGAGGTCAGCGCTTTACAGGGTCAATGTCGCCTTCTAGAAATGAATGTCCGCGATTTTTCGTTTTTTGTTTTTTTGTTTTTGTTTTTGTTTTTAAAGATACCCGAAGTTCTTTGGATTTCATGTCTCTCTCTCTTTCTTTCCCGTTTTATCTCTTATTCTTTGTTTTATCTTTTTTTTTTTGGGGGGGGGGGGGCTCTCTCAGTGGGAGAAGAAGGAATTGATGATATTACAAATGTTATAGATGTGAAGGAGGAGGAGGAAAGGAGAAAAACAAAAACAAAAACGAAAAGAATAAAATAAAATGAAAAATAAAGAAAATTGAGTATTGATTTCAGCCAATTGTTGAGGGGAAAAAAAGGGGGAAAAGAGGAAAAAAGAAGAAGAAATACTTGACCCAATTTCCACAATAATCTAGACGATCTTTATACCCATTAGTCTTGACAAGAAACTGTATATTTGTATCCCTTTCTCAAGATTTATTTACCCTTGCGTCTTCTACTTGTTCCAAGAAGGTTAAGACTCCTTTCTCTCTCCTTGCCCTGCCTTCTTCCTTTCTTTCTTTCCCTCTTCCTTTCTCTCTCCTTGCCCATTTCCCTTCTGTTTGCCCTTTCCTTATTCTTTCTTTCCCTCTTCCCTTCTCTCTCCTTGCCCATTTTCCCTCTTTCTGCCCTGCCTTCTTCCTTATTTTTCCTTTTCTTCCCTTCTCTCTCCTTGCCTATTTTCCTTCTCCCTCTTCTTCCTTTCAACGTCTCTCCTCTCCTTTCCCTTCCCCTCTCCTCTCTCCCTTCGTTTATCCTCTCCCTTCCTTCTCTTTCCCTCCCCGTCCTTCCCTTTTTCCTCTCCTCTCTCTTTATGTATCGTTTATCTCTTTCCCCTTTCCTCATTCCCCCCATTCTCTTTTTCAACTCCCTTTCAAACTCCTCCCCTTTCCTTCCCCTCTCCCCGTCTCCCCCTCCCCAATCACCCCTAATCCCCCCCCACTAATCCTGTGGCATGCTAATCCAAGTACCCTCCTTTCGTCTCCTAATCCCCTCTTACCCCCTCCCCCCCTCCCTCCACCACCACATCCACACTGCAGTAGTGGATCGCATTTTCCACATTCTGGCAAGCTCCCTGTGGTTAGATAGGAGGGAAGGAGGAGGGAAGGAGGGAAGGGAGGGGGAGGGATTAGAAGAGAGGGGATAGGAGAGGTAAAGGAGGAGGGGATTGAAAGAGAGAAAGTAGGGAAGGAAAGGAGAGCGGAGATTAGATGAAAGGGGGTAGGGGAGGTAGAGAGGGGACAGGAGGGGGCTTGAAGATAGGGGTAGGGGAAGGGGTAGATCAGAAGACAGGGGATGAGAGTGGAAAAGGTGGGGGTGAGGGAGAGATTAAAAGTAAGGATGTAGTAGAGGAGAGAGAAGGATAGGGGGAGAGGGTCCATCTATTTTTTTCTTTCTAAACCGACCGACCGATAGCAGACCTTTAAACCCCATAAACCCGTACCCGAAAGATCACCTGGTTCACTCAGGGTTCAATGCGGGGGTTCACATCGTAAAAGGGGTTCTTTGGTACGCATTCTCGTATCTCCAACCTCCTATTTAAAATATTATTTCTAAGAGAACAAAGTCCGATCATTTTCGCCTATTATTAAAAACGAAAAAGAACAAGATCTAAGTCCCATGAATACAACAGTGAGAAAAAAATACTACAAGCTCCTTACACAAAAAAGACATAAAAATACACCGTAAATAAATACAGAAATGATAAATCGCGAAAGAGGACTAAAAACAAGTTAATGCGATTAATGTCATATTACTACTGTACGATATCGCTCATATTATGTGCGCTTGTGCCAAAAATATACAAGAGATGAGGGCATATCTTAAGTGCTAAAGGGGGAGCGGGTAAAGAGAGAAAGAGAGAAAGAGAAAGAGATAGAGATAGAGAGAGAGAGAGAGAGAGAGAGAGAGAGAGAGAGAGAGAGAGAGAGAGAGAGAGAGAGAGAGAGAGAGAGAGAGAGAGAGAGAGAGAGAGAGAAGAGAGAGAGAGAGAGACGAAAACGAAAATAAACCAGTAAAAGTGGAGAAACAGAAAAAAAGACAAACATAAAAGCAGACAATCAGAAAAATAGAGAAGAGAACAAAGAAAGAACGATAGACAGAGAAAAAAGAACGAAAGACAGACATAGAACGCCGGACAGGAGTGCGAGGCGGCATTCCACATATAGCCCCTCTGGCCCGTCCGCGTCCGGCCTCTACGCAGCTGGCACATTCTTGGCCCTAGACTGACGCTATGGTCAAGGGCTGGCACTCGAAGCCGTTGGACAAATCTCCTTCCCCCTTTCTACGTCTTCCCTTTAACCTTGATCGAATATGATTGCCTTGAGCGATAATAACGATAATTAGAACCATGATGATAATGGTAAATGAATAATAGTAGTAAAATGTCTAAATAGAAAGCTGAATAGCTAGACGCGAGCGAAAAAGTTTTGTCAGTCTTACCTCAATATTCTCCTTGAGTCCGTCGATGTCCTTGTTGTCCGTGGCGGCGTGGTCGAGCTCCTTATCGAGCTGAGACTCGAGGTTGTTGAGGCCGAGGTCGAGGCTGCGGACGGCCATGTCGTAGTCGGTCCACTGGGCGATGAGCGACCCCAGGGCCTCGCGCCTGTTGTCCATGTTCTCGAGGGCGGTCTTCCAGTCCCTGTTGACCTGCATCATCTGGTTGCCGACGAGGACGTGGCTGTCCTTGTTGACGACCTGCAGGACCTCATTGGCCTTCTCGGTGTAGTCGAGGATGACGGTGCCCTGGTCGTAGAGGCGCACGCGCTCCTCGTCGACCCTCTGCAGGTTGACCCTGAGCGCGGCCACGTTGATGGCGCTGTCGTCCTGCAGGAGGTTGCTGTTGGCCTCCTTGATGAGTCCGAGCGCCTTCTCGAGGTTGCCGTTGTACTCGCACACCAGCTGCACGTTCTTCTCCAGCTGGGCCTTGTGGTCGCGCGCAGACTTGGTCACGTTGTCGAGGTCCTTCGTCAGCTGCGAGAGCTCGTTCGTGAGCTCCTCCTGGTCCTCGGTGGCCAGCGACGGCACGATGCGCTCGGCGATGTTTCCGAGCTGCTCCAAGGACTCGCCGATGAGACCCTCGCTCGAGAAGTAGGCGAGGTGGTCCTCCAGGTCGGAGCGCACGTTCTCGTAGTCGATGCCGTCGGCGTCGACGATGCGCTTCCTGGCCTCCGTGATCCAGTCGCTGATCTTGGTGGTGAAGTCCTCGTAGTCCAGGCGAAGGATCTTGGCGTCCTTCAGGTATTTGAGTCGGGACTCCAGCTCGAGAGGGAATGTAGCAACGACCATGTTGGCCTCGGACAGTCGCTCCTGCAAGATGTATGGGAGGCCGCTCTCCTGCTTGGCGCGCTCCTGGATGTCAGCTATCTTCTTCAGCTGCTCCTCGATGTCCTTAGCGAGTTCCTCATGCGTCTCGAGCTCCTCATCAGCGCTCTCGACCTCCAGGGTGAGAAGAGGCCTGGTCTTGAGCTCGGACTCCTGCTCGAAAAGCCACTCCATAGTCATGTTGAGTTCGACCGTCAGGCGCTTGTGGCTCTCGGCTGACAGCTCGTGTTCCGAATGCCTCTTCTCGACCTCTCGGCGCAGTCCGCTGAGGGAGACCTTGAGAGCCTGCAGCTGCTCCGTGATGGCGTTGTGGTCCTCCACAGTGCCTTCCTCGCTGATGATGGCACCCTTGTCTTGCGCCGAGGTCAGCTGCGCCTCGCACTCCTGGATCCTGGTGATGACCTCTCCGTACTTGCGCAGTTTATCGGTGACGGTCCGCTCCGTCTGCTCGATGTCCCTCACCACCGTCGTGTAGCGGTTGGTGAAGCCGGAGATCTCCGTGACGAGAGAGGTGTACTGCTGCCGCACCAGAATCAGCTGGCGGATCCTGGTGATCTGCTTCTCCAGGATCAAGATCATTTCCTGCTGCTGCTTGATCATGTCGCGCATTTCTCCCACGCTCACGTCAGAGCTGGCGCACATGTCATCCAGACTCTTCCTGAACTCGTTGACCTTCTTGAGGGCTTCCTGGTACGACGTGAGGAGCTTCTGGGCGTCCTCGACGTGGCGGCCCACCGGCCTGCTGAGGGACTTGATCTCCTTCTGGATTGTGGCGAGGTACTGCGTGCTCTGCACGATCCTCTCGGTGTTGCGGCGCTGCAGCGTGATGGTGTTGCGCACCTGTTCCGTCTTGTCGCTGATGGAGGAGTTGACCCTCGACGTCTTGTCCTGCAGAGATCGAACGATTTCGCCGAGGCTGAACTTGTCCGACTCGGTCAGGTACGGCAGCAGGTCCTCGCACATGTTGGCGATGCTCGTCACTCGCTTGCTGGCGGACTCGCGCTCGTCCTCCATCGTCTCCAGCTTCTTCAGCTGTTCGGCAAGGACGTCAGCAGTATTCAGGCTCTTGATATCCGTCTGGAGGGCGACCTCAGCCTGGTGAAGCCACTTCTGGGCGATGTCCACCTCCTTCTCGAAGTCCCTCCTTGCCTCCAGGAGGTTGGAGAGCCTGTTGATTGTTCCCGACAGAGTCTGGCGGATGTTGTTCATGTTATCGTCGACCTCCGTGAGGATGTCGTGGAGCTCGTCCTTCTCCTCGTCGTTGCAGTCCTTGAAGAGCGCGCTTCCCTGCCTCTTCACGCCGGCGATGCTCGTCTCGGCGTACTGCTTGAGCTCCGTGTCGAGGCGCTTGTACTTCTCGACGACGCGCTCGGCGTTCTCGGACTTGAGGGCCAGCAGGTCGGGGCACACCACCTCGTCAGCCTTGCTGCGGATCCACGCCCGCACCTGCTCCAGGGACTGCTCGAAGCTGCGCCGCTCCTCGTACGACACGATCATGTCGTTCTTGACCTCCGACACCGTCGCCTGCAGCACGGCCTGCTCCTCCGTCGTCTTGGCCAGGATGTTCTCCAGCTTCTCAAGCTCGGAGTCCTCCACGTCGCCCTTCAGGTTCTCGACG